TATAGTCGCTGATATCATTACCGAAAATTTCGATCAATATTAATTCTACTCGATTAATGATCACGAGAAAAAAAAGAGATTTCTCACTGATCAACATATCTTACTTTGTTTTTTCTGATTATTCAAACATGAAGTTTCTATAAAAATTTTCATTTAGAAATTCTCAAAAAAACCTTGTTCAATAATTTTTATATGATGCATATATTTCTGTTATTATATGTAGTAATTTAAAAAAAAACACACAAATTTCTATTTCATTAAAACAATTTATATAGTTGCACAATTATACTTTTTATTCTTTCATAAATAGATATTCAATGATAGAAATATATCACCTAACGATGTTTAACAATTTGAAGAAAATAAAAAAAATAAAATTACGATCAAGAAAATTACCAATAAATAATATACAGAAAAAAAAAAACAAACAATCGACCACAAGATTATATATTCACTAAAAAAAAAAAGATACATTTTCATATAGTAAATCACAGAGTTTGAAACATTAATATATAATTATGAGAGCGTTTCACTTTGTTGTAAAACACCTTTAATCATTTGAATTTGAGCCTAAACAATTCAAAAATAAAAATAAAACTAAATATATATAAATTTATAAATTACTTTAGTATGTTTAATTTGAAGTTCAGTTAATTCAATTAAATTTTTACGAAACATTTGTACTCTACGTGTTTTAAAATCATTTAATTCTAGAAAAAAAAAGGAAATATTTCTATTAAAAATCAAAAAACAGATAAATTTTTACCATCTTTAGCTTTTTCTGAAATCGCTTCAAATTTTTTCTTGATATTTTCTTGTGTTGTTTCAGCTTGTTGAACTTCTTTATTTTTTGCTCTTGCACGATCTAAATTTTTATTTGCTGTTTCAAAATCTGCTAAACAACGTGAACGACGATACATTAAATCAAGTGCTGCTTTGGAATCACGCATATAATATCTTAATGTATCTGATAGTTTAAGATCAGTATCCGATTGTACGCGTGATTCTAATTTCTAAAAGAAAATTTTAATAAAATAATCAAACTAAAAACAAAAATAATCTTACTCGAGCTTTTTCAAAAAAGTCAGCCATTAAAAGAAGATATCTAAAATAGGAAACAATAATTCTTCTTTTTTTAGAAATCATTTTTTTGTTACCTGTATAAATCAGTTTTAT